AGATCATCGCGGGGCCAGAAGCGTAATCGAGCTCTTGTTTCTGTCAAACTGGATTTCAATCGGATTTCTCGTTCTTGAATCAGAGATAAAATGAAATCGCGTTAAACTCGAAGAGTTACATCAGCTGCTTTAAGGATTAATTTGTTTATTTTAGCACGTTTTCGATTGACGTTGTTTATCGAGTGTATTTTATAAAATAGCCAACGTTATATAGTATAGTTGTTTTAAAAGCATTCGTCATATGTTACAAACAAGAATTCAGCATAAATCTTTCACATTTATAAACTACTAGGATTTGATCTGAAATAAAGGTGTTTATCCGAATGACAAAGTTGTGCATTCAGCATATAGTTTCACGACAAATTACCTTACAAAGCCGAGGGAGATTGACATTGTCAGCCCAGACGTGCTTTACCAAGTTGAACCGGTATTGAGTACTTTTGAAAACGTATACAGAGAAGTCGAATCTAAATATAGAAGGGTTAAAAAGCAGCAAGAAACATTTACCGACAGACTTATTGAATCGGCGACAGGAGAATTACAAGCAAAGAATCAAGTAATCGGTGACGAAGCCAAAGCTAATTTTTTAAAATGCGCAGAACAGTTCGCCATTTATCAGAAATCATTCGCAACTGAAAAGCCGCTGTTTAAACACGAAGCACTTGAAGCAATGACGTTAGCAGTAATAACAAAAACGACCGATGTTTTGAGTTCGCAAAAGTACGCAAGCCACGGGCTAGAGAAATTGTCAGTTCCTACGTGATATGGTGTTAGAAAGTCTTGCGCAACTTGGAGGCACGAGTTTCAGTATTGGATGAATAAATATAAACAAGACAAAGATGAACAATCGTAAAGGCTTCGGAAAGCATTACCCACCCAGGCAAAAACTCGTGTTGGTCGGATCAAGTAAGGCCGTGCAAAACGATTTAACAGGCGTAAAAAATTCCCGACACCGAATTTGGAGATCAAACGAAATTAATTGATACGCCCTTAACCGAAATTACAAATCTTAAGCTAATAAAGTGCGACCCGAAATCGCTTTCTCGCTACGCGGCTAGAATTCTTTGTTTCGTAAGCAACATGGATCAAAACAGCTGCGCAGTGACAAGTGCCTTAGAAGCACCCTTTGTGATATCTCAGCTTTTATCAAAGCTAGATCCAAAAGATGACATTGACTTCGGCCGAGAAATGCAACGCGTGAAAAATGAAGAGAACGTTCTGAACCTAATAGATTGGTTAGACAAGGAAGCAAGCTTGCGATCTCGCGTCAAAAGGGATACCTGCAACGACACAGAAGATCGCCGATTTCAAAATCAGCGAAGTCAGTCGGATAATCACTCCGCGAACAGTGAAATGCCCGATGATGAAATTTGTCTAGTAGGTTGCGAAGCAAAGCATTTACTTTCTGCATGTCCAGTGTTCCAAAAATCAACAGTAGACCAGAGAAAAAAACCAGCCATTTCGTTCCAATTCTACCGCATTCATTTTAGCGACTCGTACAGTATACGCAAGAATTAGATGTGAACAAACCACTGCATTCGAACTATTGAAATTGTTACAATAAATCTTTGCTTCTTCTGATGCG